AATATTTGTAAAAAGAGACCCGTGAGCTATATTGTTACTATATAAGTAGTTGCAAACCCCAGGCCTTCATTTGTATAGACATTGTTGAGATTTCCTTCTAAAAATGCTAATTGTCAGGCTGTGCCATCAAACCAATGGCTCTAATATTTTTTGAAGCATAGGTCTGGCTGAAGTATGATCCGCTGACTTTCTATTCTGCATGCTTGTTCTGGATCGGTGACTCCAGAGAGAGCCAAGCAAATTTTGTATATTCAGGTCAGCAATGGCAGCCCATTTGTTTCTCTTTGCACACTTTTCATTCAAAACTAATAATCAGTGATGGTTCCTCATTAATTGCTTCTTTTCAGTGCTGGGTGACCCTCTTATATTCCATTTTTTTTTTTACAGTAATGTTGGGGAGTTTTTCAATCAAATACAGAGTTGTAAAAATTCCTTTCTGAGCTCACCATCATTGACTTCAATCAATTGTAAGCTCATGAAAAATGGTCTGATCCCAAAAGACAAATCATTTTTTAGAAGATGGGCTATAGAGCTATAGGGCTACAGGGTTACAGGGCTATAGGGCTACATGGAATTGAAGGCATGGTAAGCTCTTGTGTGACCCTTGCTTTAAGGAAAATCAAGGAAGTGTGTCACAGAGTATAGCACCTGCTGTGAGGGTTACCAGCTAGTTCCTTCGTTGAACATGTTACTAACGCAAGTTAAGTGTTTGATTAAAGCTAAACTTCAGCAGATATTCAAAACCAACTAATCAAAAGCATCCTGACATAAAACCAGTCATATTATGACAATAATTTAGCTTCCAGTAATTTTTTTAGCAGTATGACTGGGGCAGCAATGTGAGCCAAACAGGCTCCAATACAGTGCACACTGCTGTCAGTCTAAAACTGGTACCTTGCTAACAGGAGGAGAGAACAGAGTAAGCAAAGTGATTACTCATATATGTGTTTCACTGCTTCGTTATCCAAGCACCAGGCTAGTGGTGGGTCAGTAACCATGCTGCACCGCTGAAATGAACTGGTGCATGGGTCACAAGACTGGCTGGATAGTGTTTCAAATCATTTGTCAGATAAGACAGTTCACATGTATGTATTTCAAAATCGTATTTAACCTCTTGCCTGGAATTCAGATTTAAATCCCAGTAAGACTCAGACTAATTCTAATGAGTCAGGGTACCAGTATAACTTAAATATGTCAGTAACTTAGACATAAGCTGTCAGCCCTGAAGAAGCTTCATATTGGAGCTGCTAGTCTGTGACCAAAGGGCTGGATATAAGTTCCAGGAAAGTGTAGCTGAATCTACTCCAGTACTTTGGGAGTGCTATCATTGTCTCAGAACGAATAAGTAACCTATAAGTTCATGCACAGCAGCTTCCTTCATCCGCTTCTCATTTTTCTTGTCTGAAAAGATCTTCATCGGTAGAAGACCACTGTAGTTACAAGGTGTTCTAGGTTATTACATGGAATTATAGCATTCAGTGTAGGGATTCCTTTTTATTTCACTTGCCCATATTTACATTTCTTCACATGTACTGTATATGCAGGCCGAGCTGTCCAGCAAAGTGACGGTGACAAGTTTTAGGAGAAACTGTAACACTGTCAGGGGTGCTCATGTACTTTCAGCTATAGTTTTCTTTAAAAGAAATTTATATCATTGAAATACCAACTGACTGTAACAAGCACCCCTGGCAGTGATAACGTTTGTCCCATCCATGGAAGTGTCACTTTTGCTGCATGGTTTGTTCTGCATGTAAATGTGGAAAAAAAACATATGCACAACATATAAGGAATTCATGCACAGAGTGCCATTGTTCTGTGAATAACTGCACACAATAAGCAAAATACAATATTTTTGTGGTGAAGGGTCTTTAGAGACCAAAACATTTTGTTTTTAGAGATTTCACACAGAATACTGTTTAGATTTATAAATCTATACCAGACTTTCTCAATTAAGGTGCCATGGCAGCCTGGGGTACCTTCTGGCTTTGTTAGGGGTGCCTTAAAATTTTGACTAAAGGTTGACTCTGATGTGAAGGGGGCTCCTGATGGGAAGGGGGGTACTAAAGTGTAAGAGAGGGGCACTAATGTGAAAGGAAGGGGCTCTGATGTTAAGGGGGACTTCTGACATGAAGGAGGGACTCTCATGTGAAGGGACTGCTGATATGAAAAGGGGGGAACTCTGATGTAAAGGGGTGCTTCTGATGTAAAGTAGGGCTTCTGACATGAAGGGGGGACTCTGATGTAAAGGTACTCCTGATGATAAAGGGGGGGAATATGATGTGAAGGAGGTTTTGCATTCTTTAAAGGCTTGTTCACACCAATTCAGTGCGTTTCAGCACGGTTAGCTGCTGGAACGCACTGGATCGTATAGAGCAAGCCTCTCTGCGATCTGGGGTGGAAGGGGGCGTTGTGGTGCCATTTAAGTGAATGGAACCGCATCCACGCCTCCCACCTGCAGTGCGATTGCCCACACCAGAAGGCGTGGCACAGCAAGACAAAAAATAGTGCATGCATACATTGCATTGCGGGGCGAGAGGCGTGTAGTATAAGGAAACCACAGAAGGATAAGTTCCAAAAATATCGAGGTTGTGTTTTCAATATTTGTACATTTCAATCTTAACACCAGCCAAAATCACAGACAGCAACCCAAACCTAAAAAAAAAAGATTTGATCCCTTAGTCATGCTGCTAGAATTTTTTTCAGCTATTTGTATTCCTATTAGGAAGACTTTCACTCACTTCCTATTGTGTCTGAAAGCCATCAAATAGACAGGAACGGAAGAAAAATCCCCCAGATGGTGACACTAAGAGCAGTAAACCAATAATGGAGGTTCCAAACATTCCACACTGTGGCTTTAACTTTATTTTTATGTCATCAGTTTATCTATTGAAATAAACATACACATACAGTTTTATTTATAAACAATTTGCAGAGCCATTCACCCTGCAAATCTTTGTGAATGTTCGTTCTGTTCGAATAGAGGTAAAAATAAACATTTTTAGAGGGTTATTCACTACAGAGCCGAAGGATCCAGCCGTAACTTCGGCTGATCCTTCGGCTCGCTTTTGGCTGCCGGAGCCCTTAGGTTCAGTTGAACCAAAGGGCTGCTGTACGGTCTATTCACAATAGCCCGTACAGCAGCAAAAGGCAGCCGAGCCGAACCCATATGCTTTGGCTCGGCTGAGCCGTAGTGACACGCGAAGCGTTGAGAATCTCCACGTAAATGACAGCTGGGCGGAGCCAGCCGTGATCTCACGGCTGGCACCGCCCAGTTGTGATGACAGATCAGCGTCCCCAAATGACCTGGGGGTGCTGATCTGTCATGAAACAAAAACAAC